AGAAGCATCCCTCAAAGGAAAGGCAGTGGTAAGCCTGTATTAAATCATGCTGGGAAATCTGTTTCTAAGAGATTTGTCATCGCTAACCTAATGATACTAGATGATGGAAGTGGCCTCGTTGTATGCAGCATTGTTTATATAATGAAAGACAGACCATTTCTCTCATCTGAAAGATGTGGCCTCTCCTGTTAGTTAATGGGTTTAAATGCAAACATGCTGTTTCAGCAAATCTCTCCCTGGAGTACTGTTTTCGCATTTCTAACTAATAAATGCTTTGCAGCTAATAGCCATCTGCCCATTCAAAATATTGCCAATAAAATCAGGGTAATTAGAGATAAGCAGAAGTTGGGATATACTGTATACTTCAACCAGCACTGGTCATTTAATATAATATTATTGAAATATGTACACTTGAAGCACAGCTCAAGTAGCCTTCACATCCAGATCTGTGAGCAACGCACTCCAATCTGAAGGTGAGTCTGTGAGCTGACGGAACTGCTAGTAGAACATATGCCCCCTGATCTCTATGTTCCCTCCCTGTCATTAATGCAGCTCTCGTGGGAGGGCAGTGAGGAGGTACCCAGAGCTGTGCAACATGTTCCCTTTTCATCCAGTCAACAGAGGCTGCTTGTGTAAAGGTGAATGGGGGATGAGGTCAACCAGAAGCCATACAAAAGTAAGTTGAACGTCACATCTTGCAGCTTCTCATCAATGTAAAGCTTACAGAAAGGTGAGCTTCAATGCACTGATTGCTGGGCGAGTGCCATGCTGCAGTACAGCCCCTCCTGGCAGGAGAACTCATCCTGTGTGCAATGCAGCATGGACGATGAATGTGTGTTATTGCAGTCTGTTCTGTGACACAGCATAGAAGGAGGCTTTCAGAGAGTACCTGGGCTGTAAATCTGAAGAATAGTTTTTCATTTCAAAACCTTTCTAGCTGGTATAGAAACCATTCACACACAAAGGTGCCATGCACGTAGCAGGTGACAGTCCATTAAAATACCTATATTTCTAAGCCTCTCAGTATTGATATACCGAGGAGCAAAAAAAAAAAAAAAAAAGATTGTAGTGGAATATTTAAAAGGATCTGACACCACAAGTAAATCATACTGTAAATGTGGGGACTTAAAACATTTCAGGACTAGGCCTTCTATGAGTTGCAGCCTTTAATTTCTGAGCTCTGTAATTTTGATATGGTCAATTTATCATGCTGCCTAGAGAGGTCCCCATAATGAACTAATTAAGTTTCAGATACACAAGCAGTGACTATGTTTTTTTATTCTTTTACCAAACTGAGAGCTTAATAATCTACACAAAATTAAAATACTGCCATAGCTAATTTAATTGTTCCATTATACTGCATAATTGAAACAGCATTTGTGAACTGATTTGAAGTTTCACCGCATTCAAACTAGATAATAAAGAAATCCAACACACAGTAATCCGCTGAAAGCTTTCATCTGGCTTTAACTCGCTCTTCTTCCTGCGATGGTCTCTTAAGTGCCAGGCAGTTCCCTGAGCAGCGGTCCCTATGAACATAACACCAAGAGACAGCGGTGTCCAGCAAACTGCTGGATCAGAGTTCAGCACAGCATCAGCTCTGGGCTCTGGAGGGACGTAAGTCACAGCATTAAAGTGTTTTTTGCTTATACAAGAGAATTGCTAGACAGGCTCCACTTTGCCAAAAAAAAGTAATCAAGCGATGCTAAAAGTGCTTAGAACAGCAGAAGAGATGGAATCATGCGTTACACAACTGCTTTAAGGGCATTCCCATAGGGACAGGAAATCCAAGAGGAACAGCAGAATGCTCACTGCAGTCCTGCGGAACTGAGCCTAGAGCAGCTGTCAGCTCTGCAGAAAACAAAATTACAGTGTGTTGTTCTTCTGACCAGGACATGAACTAAGTGGCTGGTAGTCCCATCTAACAAGGAGGACACCTCTTTTACCTACAGTGTCATACTGCAGCTCGGATAAAAGCACTTTAAGAAGAGAGAGAAAATATTTGTCCGTAAGAGAAAATTGAGAGCCAGCACAATGAAGTGGGAAAAATGTTAACAGTTTACCAAGCTTGATTAGAACGCTGAGCAGAACTGTTAGAGTCTTCAGCCATCATCAGGATGGGTTTAAAGAGAACAAATCTAAGCTTGACCACTTTTAGACTACAGAGTATTGTACACACGGACCACTCTCCTGTGCATCTAAATGGATTGAAAAGCCACTAGATTATGAAGCAGAAGTACATCAGTGACCAATAATATCATGATATAAGCATGAACTCTCCGATATATATAATAGCTATGTTTAAATGTTGTTTCACCACTTATCTACAAACTACAGAGATATTATAGACTGCACTCTTTTGTTCCCATAAGGAAGCCCAGCCTTCCTGATGGGTTTCTCTAGTGCCAGTGCTGGGTACTATGACAGTTTTTTCTTCACCTATTTAGATACTTCTTTCTCTGCGTGAGGCTCCTCTTCTCTCTGTGAGACTCTAGCAGCTTCAGCCACCTCTAGGAAGAAAAACGCAATAATCCAGGAGTGTGTTTATTAAGTTCACTAAAGCTAATTAAAGAAAAACGGCCCAGAAAATAATACAGTTTTCAGTTCCATGCATTTATGTGACTTCACATAAAATTCAACAATTTTAAAAATATTTTTTTGTTAAAATAGAAATTCAATAATTTCTAGTTATTAACTAGTCTCTGTTCGCTTTGAATGAATGCAGCTGTTAAATCTTCTTAGAAATAGGTATATAATATAAAATGATAAATTCATGTATCAAGGGCCCTGGTTGGTCTCAGTAGGTGTCATTTTTGTTACTTCAGATAATGTAACAGGATCTGTGTTGCTGGGACCCTTGATTTTTAGGGAAATGCTCATGCCATCTGCTGGGAAGTTTCGAAATTTGTCAAGAATTTTTTCACTAATATTTTATTTTACTGGCTTTTAGATGTTGAATATTTACACCAGTTGTTTTGTTATTTTTCTTTTTTGAGATCTATGGGTATATGTAACATAGCAGAACTCCTTAAGTACCTTTGAGCTAAGTAATTGCACCTGTTTCTATGGCAAGAAGTTGATGATGATGAAAGTGATGTGAACTTAACCCTCTTGAGGGAAGCACTGTCTGAGTTTAATTTAGTTTTCACTCAGACATACAAAGTTAGTAAAGGTTTTCTGAAATGACAAAGCTAACATAGTTCTCTGACCTGTAGTTTGAAAATAACACAAGGAAGGTGAGTACCATGCAAGCATATCCAACAAAACTGCTCGTTACAGCAACAACAATTAGTGTTAGATCATACTGAGTATGGTCTGTTTCCAACGTACTAAGTGAGCGACATAAAAATGCATGTTGAATAAACACTGCTAGCTGAGCTTAATAACCTGTAGAAGAAATATTGTCCTGTCAAGCAGTTATTATAAGATATGAGATCAATCTAAATCAGATTGGAACAGGCAATTTTAATTTTAGTATTTTCGTGGAGTTTTTTCTCCTTACAGCCTTTCAAGTTTTGTTAATGTGTTTTGATTGAGTAAACAAGCACAGAGTTTGTTTTTTTGTTGTTAGTACAATGGAACATGAATGACAGGGATTTGCTTGCTCTAAAGGGTTCTGAGAAATTGCAGCAAAATGCTGCAGCTCAGCCTAAGTACATCTACATGATTCTCAAATATCTCTAGGGACGCTGACTCCACTGCCTCTCTAGAAGACATTTTTCAAGTTCTCTGGTGCAACTTGAGGCTGTTCCCTCTCATCCTATCACTGTTACCTGGGAGAAAAAGCTGACCCCCACCTTTCCACAACTTCCTTTCAGGTCGTAAAGAGCTATAAGGTCCCTCTTGAGCCTCCTCTTATCCAAACTGAACAATCCCAGCTCCCTCAGCTGCCACCTGTAGGACTTATGCTCCAGATCCCTTACCAGTTTTGTTGCCCTTCTCTGGATGCACTCCAGGGCCTCACTTTTCTGTAGTGAGGGATACAAAACTGAATACAGCACTTCAAGGTGCGGTCTCACCAGAGCTGAGTACAGGGGGATGACCTTCCTCTTGCTGCTCATTGTGCTATTTCTGATACAAGCCAGGATGCCACTGACCTTCTTGGCCACCTGGGCACTGTCAGCTCCTGTTCAGCTGAGCACTGACCAACACCTCCTGCATTCTTTTTCTCCACACAGCTTTCCAGCCACTCTGCCCCCAACCTGTAGCATTACATGGGGTTGTTGTGGCCAAAGTGCAGGACCGGGCACTTGGTCTTCTTGAACTTCATCCCATTGGTCTCAGCCCATCAATCCAGCCCCTCAGAGTCCCTTTGTAGAGCCTGCAAGTGGAATCCATGAGAGGAGAAAATAATGTCCTGAAAGTTAACTGTTGCCCTCAGCTTTGCTTGGCTGAGATGGTACCACTGAACTTCATGCCACCGACTGCAGGGCTGAGCTTGGGTTCTGCTGTGCAGCTGCTGCTGAAAGGAAACACTGCTGCAGCAGGCCTGCTGCTGCCACAAAGCTGTAACTGAAGCGCTCTGTCTGCCGCTGCTGGCAAAACAGGCCAAGATGTGGCTGCAGCAAGGCTGCAATAAGCAGCGACATGTCAGTGACTCCTGGCAGGAAGCTGAGGATTACAGAAACTGCGGTCTTCTCATTCTAAGATTGTAATTTTGATTTTCAGATGGTGGCATTAAACTGCAGTGGAAAGGACAAGCGTTTCCCTATCAGTTTACACTGGTAATGCATTATTAATGATGCAGAACTAGAGAGCTTAGCTGGAGGTCTTTGAGAAAGGTTTTCAGCAGTACTCCTAGAAGCTGGGTAGTTCAGATGCTGTTGAGTATTTTCCAAGTAAAATATAGTTTGATTAAAAATAAATAAAAAATCGGTAGCTTTTTTTTTTTTTCCAAGCAATTTGTTTGGAAGAATACTGCAAAGGAAAACATGGGCTTTGGATCTGGATGTTATACTTGAGGCAGAGCTTTTTGTTATTATCATTTCTAATGTTGTAATATGTTTGCTGCTGCAACCAAAAACTTTGTTAAACAGGTTGGTGACGGAGGAAGACTCGTGCCAGTGCCCAGCCTCAGTGAAGCTGATAAGTACCAACCTCTCAGCCTTGTGATTAAGAAAAGAAAATGTTTGCTTTCGAAAAAATCTAAATTTGCTTCGACACCTTTCACATTAAAAGACATTCTTGAAGGGGAGAAAGAAATTTCTGCAGGTAAGTTTTCTATTTATCTTCTAAGCAGAAAAATGCATGTTTTCCTGTTATTACATGCCAGTCCTGTTATTACATGCCAGTGGTTGTGGTTTCATCTGTATAGATAACATAATGGTTCTTCAGTACACGTGTAATAAAATTATTTTGCTTAGTCATTTAATAAATATTTAGGAAAAAAAGTGTGAGTTAGGCTGGTTAAAAAAGAAAAGACTTTCAGGAAAAAAAAAGGTTATATTAAAAAAAAACCTATTTTTTAACAGATCCTATTGAGCCTCGTGGGTTGTTTCTTTTTCTCACAAATCGCAATAGATATATTGATGTATATTGACTATTTGCTACTTAATATTTACTTTTAATTTTCACCATGGTCTGGTGACTCATTTGAATATGTAGCACTGACGTAAGCTTGGCAGCTGTTTCATCTTAGTGATGCCATGTGTTGAACTGTGCTCTGAATAAGCAGAAACAATTGGCAACAGCAATCTAACAAGTAATAGGTTTTCTATAAGCTTTTTTTTCCCCACGTTTGTAATATTTTTCTCACATTTAAAGAGTTTAATTGTGTTTGTCTTTTCAGTGCAAAATCAGAAAGTTTTAAATTTCCTTGAGAAGTAGAAGGTGTAAAAATTGAGCTATACTGCATGCATTTTCTTTTACATTCCTTTAAAGAGTCTGGGCAATTTATAGCTGCATGATATGTTTTCTCAAAAGAATTTAATTGCTTAATTTTATTTATTTTTTAAGCATGTTTTAATAAAGGTATTAATTGCACAACAAATACGTGAACTAAAAACTCTACTAAGAAAAAACAGTATGTGCACAGGAAGACAGAAATGTTTGCATCCTGCAATCACTTCTCTGTGGGGTCAGCAGACAAGGTGAAGAAAATCCCACTCATCTTGCATTCAGGACAAGTCCGATAGCTTGTCCTGAATGAAAAAAAAAAAAAAAAAAGTTAAAAAATTCTCATTTAAGAAGTCAGAGGAAAAAGTTGCAAAATCTCATTACAAAGTCTTTTGTGTAAAGGTTAGATGTCATATGGAGAAGGTATTGTCCTTTAATGTGAACAAAGAACTGTAATTGAATTTCTTTTTTTTATGTGACAAATACAAGCATTGTAATCTTTTCAGCATTATGAAAAATACATGAAGTTTTTTTGTTAAAAGATACAGACAAACAGCATTAATTCTAGGTGACTTTCTAACGTCATTTTATCCTAAAAGTTCCAAAGAATAAGAAAAAAATAATTGAATGTCTAATCCCCTGATCTATCTGCCCTGTTTGTATTAATTTGGCAGGCAACCAATGTGTTCTAATAGTTTTCTGTTAGTGTAATGGAAACATGTTTAAGGTTATAAAGAAAGCATAAAAATGCTTTGGTACCTCTCCTGTTGTTGTGTAATAGATTACCAGAAATGTTTGAATGAATTAGAATTAATCTGTTGTCGTCCTTCAAATTAAACTGGTACTCTCCAAAATCAGTAGGGACACGTGGTAACATGACAAGATTTTCTAGGCAACAGCTAAAAGTCAAAATTAATGTTACTGGCAGACCTGTGTTGTGAAACTGAAAATCAATGTGAGGTTAACTTGTTTTACATCTAGAAATTTTCAGAACTCCCTAAAGTTATTTTATGTAAGATATATGTTTAAATGTAACTCCAAAAAACATAAAACAACTCAAAAAGTTCTACAAGTCAGAAAGGAGGAAAAATTGCCTGTGTATAACAAGTCTTTCTTATGAGTTGTTGGGTACCAGCACATGATGTGTGTATCAGCCATGTTATCTTTCTCTTTATTCCTAATTTTCACATTGTATGCAGTCTTCACTATGTCATTTTCTTTGTGTTTCAGAGCCTTTGCACTCACTGCACTCAGAACACACAGATTATCTGTTTATCTGTCTCTCACGACATAAGAGAATAATGATAAACACAGAAATGTAGAAATAGCCCTAATCATAATTTCAAGCTTAGGCATATCCGATGTGGGAGTATGGACACAGTTCTGCAAATAAGAAGTAGAGAGATGCCTGAGTTCCTGCACACTCTTTCCATTAGTCATCAGTAGTAACACTGATAAATAAGCACACCACACAGCTGTGAATTTTTCATCAGAATAGCGGAGTACGAACAGTACACTTTATTCTCTTCTTCACATTTATTTTATATAATTTTCAAATAATTAAAATATTCTGTTAAAAGAATATAATGCTTTGTAAAAATACTGTGCTCAGATCTTCATCACAAAATAGTTATCTTCTTTTACTCAGGTGTTTCGTCCTACCAGTTGCTCAACTATGAAGACAAATCAGATGTTTCGCTCAATGGTAGAAGAGGAAATCAGATAATCAATGATGTTGGTTTTGATGTTGCTGGATCAGATTCTATTGCCTTTAAAGCTTCATTTGGCATAGTGACCAAACACGAGGTTGAAGTACCGACACTACTTAAAGAACTTACTACAAGGTTGTGTCGCTTATTTTTGTTCTGCAATAATATTTCATTTTCATTCAGGTTGCTTCTCTGAAGAAAATGTATTAATACAGAAATTGTTAGATTTTGATTGTTTTTATGCAATCCGTAGTAGTCAAAATCAAATGTTTTCCAAGTTCCTTAACTATCTGTCTAATGAGTCTCAAGTTCACCACTTCAATTAGATGCATGACCTCCTGTATAACACAAGCATATAATTTATCTGAATTAATTATTTTTTTAATTATAGTGCATCTTTCAGGAAAAAAAAAAAGAATTATAGTAAGGAAGAGTCCACCAAAGACTCAATGTTATTCCACAGTATTGCAAATTTGAAATTGACTTCAAATGACATTAGCCATCTTCTGCTTTTGGAAGTAGGTTGATTGGTATGTTGTTGTCTGATGAACTAAAGAGATGTATGTTGCCAAAATTATTTCCAGTGTAAATAATTCAAGATTTTATTAGGTTATTCCCCAAACTTTTATTTAAAAAAGAAAATAGATCTATTTGATTCAGTTTTTAATAATCTTCTGCCAGACTCCTATAAATGTAGTCCTTTTCTCCAAAACTTCTGTTAGTTCTTAACACTGATAATGTACTCAGTGGTACTTTAGTGTTGGCACAAATGGGACTTTTTCTAGGTGATCATCTCCAGTTTATATTTCAGTGATTGTCCCTTGGCCACAGTGTCATCCCAGTGAATCCCAATATGCAACCCAGTAAAGTATTCACTATGCTTGGTGTGACATTTGGTGTTTTCAAAGATGCTTGTTTCCTAGTAGTTATTTACCAAGCAATGCATGTTATTTGGTATTCATAACCTCTCTTATTCTGTACCTAGCTGCTACCATAACTTGAGCTGGGGTTAGTGAGAGAAATTGTTAATAGTCTTCCAATAAAAATATAAGACTAAGAGCTACACCTTTGGAGATTCTCTTACAAAAAAACATTTGATGATCGTTCTGTATTTATAGTTTATGTATTATGTTGTAGTTATGGTTCATACCTATTAGTTAGCTAGTTTTTAATTCATTTAGCATATGCCAGATTCTATAGGTATCATTTTAAATTTCACTATTATAAGCTTTTATAGAAGCCCTAAGATAGAGCATTAAAACTATTACTTGTAACTAGATTTAAAAAAGATGATTATAATTAATATGAGTAGCATTATATCAACTTAAAAAAAAAAAAAAAAAAAAAGCTATTAATCAAGGTGTGTTGACACCTCCTTAACGTCAGTAAGTACAGCATCAGCCTTGAAATTTTCCAAGATATCCCGTGTAACTTAACACTTGTATATTATTGGCTTTCTTTGAATCTTCTGGTGATTTTGTTTCCAGAGACTGAAAATCAACATAATGAACATGAAGTTCCCAGAAACCTTCTCTGTCAACTGTTTTATAGCAATGAGACAGAAGTTATAGTGATTTTTTTTTTACTGACTTAAAGTTCCTAATTATGCAATTGGCTTTGTTAAATGCTAATAATCTCTGAATTTCCTCTTTGTCTCTCGTTTGATTTTAGAAAAATAAACTTTGATCATTGTCTAGTCCATCAAACAAGGAAAAGTAGGATGGAGATTCTGTGTGTAGTCATGGAAAGCATTAGGACAACAAGGCAGTGCTCATTAACTGTTCATACTGGGATGCGTGGAGAGACTATGAGGGTAAGTATGTTTGACAGTTTAAGTGAAAAGTCAAACAACAAGCTCATTTTTATAGATTGTTTGGCTGAATTTGACTGTATTTTTACTGAAATAAACTCAGAAAATTCTGAAGAGAAATGAGGTTTATTGCACTGATATAAAGTGAATGAGAACTTGGATTTTTTTAATTCACATTTCTTACGTGAGGAATGGGAAAAGCATGGAAGGATAGGTAGACAATGAGCCGTTTCTCTGGGTGATGTCTTGGCAAAAATTTGGAAATTCCTTCTTTTTAGTTTGAATGTTTGAGAAACATATAACCTATCCTTCCTTACTGGATTGATCTTCTATAGCTCATTACAACTTCGGGTTGTGACTGTTTCAAGAGTTGGCTCTTACTCCCTGCCCAATTTCTCCCTCCCTCCTCCCCTCTCTCATCTATACATTTGAATAATTGAACTTTCAAGTCTTCTGAAGTTTGCCCTTTTTTAAATCATTCATATGATTTTCAAAAACTAATGCGAATTAGATTACTGTCTTTGTATAAATATAATTTTTTTTTTTTTTTTTCAATCAAAAACCTTTATTTGTGAAATTTGATCCTCAAAGATTTCTCCTGATAATATAATTTTCACTATGTACATTTAAGGTATTATTTTGCTTAGTTTTTCATTTTGTTTTTTTTTTCTTTTGATTTTCAAAATTATAGTTTCACATAATTGAAGACCAAAATAATAAAGGACGGGACAAAGCCATTGTTTTTCCTGCACATACAACAATTGCTTTTAGTGTATTTGAACTTTATATTCGTTTGGATGGAAATTTTGGTAAGTCACTTGTATTACAATTAGTGTCATTACTGCAACTATTTATAGTAGTTTTACTTTCTAATACAGTTTCCTTGCTCTTGATATGCAGAAGCCCAGTTCCATAAAGTGGATATGCTTTAATTTTATGCACACAAGTAGTCTGACTTTCTAAGGAAGCAATTACTTCAAAGATAAACAAGGTAGTTACAGAAAAACAGTTTGTCATGGAAAAATTTCTAAAAAATAATATAACTTTATTATTATGATGATTTTTCCTTCTCAAAGTGCTTCATTAGCAAGGAGCAAAATATCACTTGCTTTCTAGCCTTTAAAGACTATCTGATCACTTTTGCATAAAATTGAAAAGTAAGAGACCTAAACAAAAAAGAATGTGCATGACTTTTAAATGAAATGAGGAATTTTGTTGTTGTTCTTGGGTATTTAAGTTCAGTTGGATACATTATTATGTATATGCCTAACTGAAGATATTTACAAATCACAATTACTGAAAACAAATGCAAAAAATGTATGCAGCTCCAGTAAGTTTTTCTCATTTTTAGGGAGCTTGTGTTTATGTTATTGACACTGAAGCGTAGCCTGTAATGGTAGAAATGTTGTTTCAAATAAATCATAAATTCAATTTTAGGATTTGATCTAATACATGATAATACCACATAATGTTAGATAATGTTTCAAACACCAGATTTACCTGTACATAAATACCAGGATCTCTGCAGGAGTCACAAGGCTGTTTCAGGAATTGCTTGACTCTGATTAAGATTGTGGCTTTCTTTAAATAGCAAGATAAAAGATTAGGGAAGCGATCTGTACCAGCAGTATCTGCTTTTGAAGTTGTAAGTATCTTTTAGCATATACAGCTTTTACATTTCAAGATAGAAACTCTGCATTTTAAAGCACTTTTTTAATGAGCTGTGAAATACCTCTGCCATTTTGTAAAAACTTCAAATACAATCCCAACTGTGCATAGTTACCTAATTAAAAGTATGAGGTAATACAATACAGTAGTTCCTTACATTTGCTTCTGTAAATCTCAATATAATTTTCCAATTTTTAAGTGTCGTATTTTACCTTTATGCAATGGTAGAAACGTGCAAAAATAATGTTCTTGCTGAAGTTGGGGAAATGATGAATTAATTAGGAGGGTATTTGTATCTGCGTAATTAAAAAGAATTATCAGTTGAGGTTTGGCTTTTTCAGTTTCATGCAGTCAGTTATCCATATATTTTACTTCTGAGGTTTTCTCTCAATTTATGGATGAAAACTAAGGTGATACTTTGAATTTAAAAAATCACTTTTGTCAGCTGATTCTGCATTGGAAGAGAGAAACTCACAGCCTCACTTAGAATTCTTACTTTTAGTTTCAAATGAGAGATCTCTGTAAGGAGATGTTTTTTCTTCAGGAGATTCATTAATTGGCTATCTTAACTCCTTAAAACATACAGAAACTCTGAGAATGTAAGTTGGATGCCACCAACATGCTAAAATTTCCACTAACCCTGTATCACTTGATTCTGTGCTATTACAGTGTACAGATTTGTATTAGGAATTAGGTTACTAGCAATTAACAATAGCACGTATGAATTTAATCCCGCTAACTTTATCAACCTATTATAGATTAAGAAAAGAATATTAAATTGTGTTGTGCAGCTTTGCTATTGCATTCTTCTAAAAGCTTACATTTAATTTTTACAGAACTGTGCGTGACTCCAATTGCAAAGGGGGGATTTGAAAAAGAGAAATCTGGATCATCTTCAATGAACAAATTAAGGAGATTAAAGCATAATCTCTTTCATCGAAGTATGTCTTTTGATAATGAATGAAAAGTGTATTTTTGGTTTTAGTTGTAAGATGGACATTTAAATAGGAAAATTTTTATTCAAATTATACCTAATAAATTCCTTCCAAACAGAAATGATTTTCAAATGCTTAAATTTATACAATCTTTTTTGTAAATTTACGGTATTGCTGTTCATTAAAACTAAAGATCTTAATTTATGGCTGATGATAAAGTAATAATCTGTTAGGATTAATCTTATTTCATATGTTCACAATTTACATGGAGTATCCAAGTCATATTCTATAAATAATATTTCAGCTTTATGACAAAGTTTAAGTATAAAGCAATATTAATTTAAATATTAGAATGTACTCTTTAGGCTGCATCATCACGTGACAGGGATATTGGCAAGAGATCACTGTAGTTCTCTTTTCTTGTTCTGATGTGAACACAACCACCAAAAATAGTATCACTGTATGTGGGCTGATTTCTTTTGCATACCTCTGACTCTATGCTACTCAAGTTTGGGAACTTCTTGTAGTCAGTGTAGAGCAAGATCCTCTACTTTTAACAAACCTTGGTCTAAGTATTAAGGAAGGTTGCAAATCTGAAAACAAAGAGCACCAGACACATCCTTCTAAGGGCTGCTCTTTACAGATGTTCTTGCTCTATTGTATTCCATTCTTGATCAAAGAGCTCGTATATGGCCTAAACCTTCAGTTGTGTTTCAGTCTACCCAAAGGGAACCAATCTTCAGTGGGTATGATACACCTCACTCTCTGTAGCTGCCTAGAAGTTGGTTATCCAACCTAAACTCATTGCTCCCTGAAAAAGAGAGAAGAAAGATACGTAGTTTTCAAAGCGACTTTCTTCTGGGATGTCTGGATGCTCAGAAATTTGATAGGAGGTCAGCATGGAAAAAAAACGGACAGAAACAGAATAAACAATTTTAAAAAATAAATTCAGGAACAAAAATAAAAATGCTAAAGCAAGAAAGTATGCAGCTGTGTAGTAATTGGCACTTATTTTTCACAATCTTGTATCATGACCTTAACTTCTAGAATCATTTGTAAATAAACATTTCTATTATGCAAGTCATATATAAAAAAATCTAGTTTCTGCCAGTGTCTTTTGTGAAATTAAAGGAAAGTTTTCACCACCCAAGGCTTTTGATGGAAAGTGATTTATGGTGCAGCTGTTTAGAATGGATTCATGAATCAGTTGTTATTTCCGCCATTTGATTCACAAATTGTTTTGTAAACGCTTCATAATGTAATGACAAATTATTGGTGTTTTTTTTGTGTGCATTCTTTTTCAGATAAAAGAATAGTGAGTATCGTCCCTAGCTCTGATGGTTACTTGGAGGACCTTTTTACAGACTACTATGAGAAAGCTGCAAGCATGACTGATCTCTCTACAAGCTATCTCAGAGATGGGGCTCATGTCCGAATTAATTTACTTAATAACAACATCCCCAAAGGTCCTTGTGTCCTTTGTGGAATGGGAAGTTCTAAAAGAGAAACAGTCTATGGATGCCTAGAGTGCTCTTTTAATGGACATAAGTATGTACGACTGCATGCCGTGCCCTGTTTCGACCTCTGGCATAAAAGAGTGAAGTAACTGCTGTAGGTAAGTGCCTGTTGTTACCGACATGGGCATAACTGGGTGCCACAAAGTTTTCAGAGTTATTACATATGACTCAAATGGTTTAAATGCAAAATAGTGGAAGTGCAAAATATTTTATTACACTATTTTCAACTTATTTGCTTCACAATGATCTTAATTACTTGAAAATGTTCCAATGCATTCCCTGACATTTTGATTTTCATCTTTCTAGTACGTTCTCACTTCATTATCATAGTGAAAGATGTACTTTTAAAATGAATTTTAATAATGTCAAAATATATAACTTACCTATAAATTTGTTTACACAAACTTGTTTTGAAGCCTCCAAATGTTGCCTTTATCTACACTGGCATATAATTGTAAAAGGAGAATATTTGTTAATAATTTAGTGTTCTCATGAATGTTTAATTGAAGTATCAGATTAAAAAACTGCTAAAACTTACTTAGCTCAGTCTAATGTTTCATTTACAAAAGGGAACTACTAAAACGGGATAGGAGTTTAATGTTAGGATGTCATTACTAAGAAGTACCAGCTAGCATACCTTTAGCTTTTGGATTTTAGGTTACCACTGCTCTTGACTTTCATACAATTTATGTGTTCAGAAAAAAAAAATGTTTAACAGAGAAAGCTTAGGAAATTTGAGAAGATAACAGAACTAGATCCTTCCAGCTAGACTTTAGGCTGAAGTTTTTTTTTTAGTTCTAAATCAAAAGAAATAAACTGTTTTTCAGAGTATATACTCCAGGGGGCACTACACAACAGCGTCCAGTGCAGAGATAGGGAGAATGGTTGATTTGTGTATAGTTCAAGCTTTGCCATTGCTATGTTGAAACAGGAAAACAAAATTTGTACATTTTAGAATGATTTTAAGCATAAAGCCGTATGTGGAAGTTTTGTTTATTTGCCTGGGCTGTCATCTTTACTGCGTGTACACCTGATTCTTCCATGTTGAAATAAATGATAATTTTCCCTCAGTATAAAAGTATGATACACAAGTGTTATGATGACACCTGCATAAGCAGGTAGAATAACTGTATATAAACGATAGGAATATTGACTTTATTATATTAACTATGAGAGTACTGTATATTAACTATCACTGTTTCTTCTTTGTGTTTTTCTCCAAAGTGAGGGAAACTAGATGTCCAGATAAATACTTATGCTTATACAGGAGTACCTTCTATTCTCTTCCATCTCAAATAAAACATGGTATTATAAGTTTCTAACTTTTAGCCAGTTTATTGAGCAGTATTAGCAAATTTACTGTAGTCAAGGTTTAAAATCCCCTTAAAAATACTGTATATTCATAATGCCAAACTTCAACATAAAATAACTATAATATTGATTTTAAAAACATTTATATTTATATCTTGAAATTTCAATTCTCTTTCTTTTAAGGCTTTTTATAGATAATAGTGCTACAATGGCCTGGAAGCTATAGAACCCCTGCAGTTACCTTCCTGGGGTTCTGTTTTTCTGTTTGGACTTAGAAGTATTCATTAATAATTTTCTAAATATGGAACGATTATTTTTGACTGACAAGACAGAAACAATCATTTTGATCAGCAGTTTACACACTGACCAAGACCAGTAATCAATAGTGTAGACTAGGAAATGATACAGGAAAAATATAACTACAGATCTTGATGTTTTCCAATTTTATTTATTTTGTAACATCTAAAACATGTTATTAGCTAAATGTTAAAAGTAGTATTTTACAGTCACCTTAGAAATAAAAAAGATGTCACTATAAAAAACAAACAAACAGCAAAATATTCTGTAACAAAGTATTACTTTGGATTTTTTATAATTTTTTGTCCATAAAACAGCCAAAGATTTTACAGGTAGCTAGAGTTCATCATGCTGATAGACATTGTACTCCTTAGCTGAAATGAAGCCATCTCCATCATGGTCATTCTTCTTAAATATATCAGCTAAAATTTCATCATGGACTGAGGGATGACGTTTTTTGCCATCTCTTGCAAATTCTTCTTTCAAATATTGGCTTATCTAAAAGGAAAAAAAAAAATCAACTATTGTGGCTTTTATACCAGAACTCAGCAGCTATCTTCAAGAATACTGGGGTATACGGGTGAGTAGCTGTGACTGCAGTGTAGGTATGTCTGAAGTTACTTTCCTACTATGTCTGGGACATACTAGTAGAGTAAAGCTTATGTCAGCATGACACTGCATAGTTTGTCTTAGCATACAAAAGCTTTCCACAATGAACTGCATCAAAGGCAGCTTGTTAAGGATAACATTATGATAAAAGTATCTCCAAAGTTTTATAAATACAATCCATTCAAAATTATGTCAAATTACCTCGTGTTCAGAGAGCTTCTTGTCGCTGTCCTTATCTATTTGATGAAATGCTTCAACACTGCGAGGTCCCTTATTTACTGCATAAAGTTCAATCTCAAAGATAAGTGTTGCATTTGGTGGAATCTTGCCCTGTGCTACGAATAAAATAAAAAGCACATTTAAGAAATCATAATGTATATTCAGTGATCGCACATTTGGTAAATGTGCATGTAAATTTTCCTAGTTTTTCTTACAAAAGACAGTGTTAATATTCAGATTAAATGCTTGATTTAAATATTACATAGCTAGACTTATCAGTTCATGTTCTGGCATGACACTGGTTCAGCAGGTCATTGTGTTAGAGAAACTATTTGGGAGAGACTTGAAAACAATATACTTCCCTGAAAATTATATTGTTTATACCATATTTTCAAAAATGATGATGCAATCAACTTTGAGGAGTGATTCTGCATCATGGAAAAACAAGTATTTCTGTTCTCACTGTTTCATATACTGTCCTATGATGAGGCTTACTGAGAGATCAATTCTAAGATGTATGTATTAATTTAATATCTGCAATGTGATTTATAATATATGCATTATAGTACCAGACCAATGTTTTATGCATTTTCTGTCTGAAGAAATGAGCAGGTAATATCAGGTTTTACAAATTTACTATGAATTATACCTATGATTAAAGGACACTATGCAAAATAGTGAGTTAAATGTGCATCTCATCAGGAAGAAGCAATAGCACGTAATTCATCTGATTCACATTTGAAAACCAAAACAACCCCCAAAAAACCTCACAACCGAAAAAGCCCTGAAGAACCACTGGGATATTTTCTCTGGTCCCTAGACAGAAACACCAAAACATGTTAGACAGTATTATTCCCGTGTCAAAGCATTTGCCTATAAAGATAGGGCACTGTATCATGCATCTGGCCAAAAAAAAAAAAAAGGAACTGAAACAGACCGGAATAAACAGATCAGGTCTGAAAGTAAAGCAAAAAAAGCTGCTACAAATCATGCAGTGTAATATTAAAATGTGAACATGCAAGCTGCTTCTATTCATAGCCAAAGCTAGTGTGCATGACGTTTGACAGAATGTTGACTTGTGACCATAAACTGAAGAAAAACTAAATGTACTTCGCTTATAAGAACAAGGCAAACAAAACTATTAGTTACACTTCTCATCTAAAATATCAATGTTAAAAATCACAAGTTTTAAAGTTCAAAAGATTTTAATCTTAAAAGCCTGAACATGTAGAAGTTTTAAATATAACAGAATATATACCACTGTTTGTATACTACTTACCAAATAAAGATACAGTATCAGACTTCAGTGCCAGTATTTATGAATATACATACCAACAAAGGAAAGATATGTAAAGATTTAGAAAGCCACATGCATCTTTTCTAACTCAAGATTAGGCAGGCATCTTCCGCAACATGCAGGAATACGCTGAGACATAGGACAGGTATGTTGCAGAAACAGAACAGTTTCTTGATGTGCTACCTAGAACAAACAGTTAATGCTAGTATTAGATTAAAAGAATGTATTTTTATTTGTGTCAGTGTTTCTCCTTGTTGCAAGACTTGCTCATTAAACATTATGCTCAAGAGGTAAAAATTTGATCCTACTAAACTTCATTGACTACAGTGGAATTATATCAAACACAGAACTGATGCGTGAGATTCTAACACAGTAACATTTACCAAATGATTACTATACATCAGAAGTTGCATTTTCAAAATAACTAGTACACCCAAACCAGGCTGCATTTATTTTCAGATGAGTACTGAAACACTACATAAAAATGACTAGAAGTCTTTTTTTTATTTAAAATCATGAATTCAAATCAGATTTCATGCATTGTATTGATGCAATTATTAGGCTATGTGATGATGTTGTGCATTAACTATCCAGAATGTAAGCAATCTTTTAAACAAATGCTTTCCAGTTAAATTGATTCAGTGGTATGAACTGGATTACATTCTGTTTTGCTCAGAAGAATTCATTAAGAGGCTAAATCTAGTAGAGTTATATAACAGAAAATAAATATGAATAGAATATAATTTCAGGTTGGATCATAGGAAAAAATTCCTCTCAGAAAGAGTGGTGAGGCCTTGAACAGCTGCCCTGGTAAGTAGCAGTCTCTGCACAGATGTGGCACTGAGGGACATGAGTTAGTGGGCACGGTGGGTTGATGGCTGGACTAGATGATCCTAGTGGTCCTTTCCAGCCTTAATGATTTTATGGTAATATAGTAAGACAAAATGCATATATGAATCATGGAGATCTTCCTCTGGCTGTATGTTTTTGGTATTGTAGCAGCACTCACAAAACCAAGGCAGGCGGCATTGTACTGGGAATTCTGATGCAAAATGCAGAGCTTTGGTGGCAGTCTGTGAATAGGACTGCTTAAATCAAACAGGAATTAGTAAAATTAAGCCGTGCTGCAGTCACCTCAAGTGTTCTACAAAAATAATAAAGCACCAACTCTTAGTCATTTACAGTACAGTTTGTTCATTTGAAGGTAAATAAAACAGAGCAAAAAAAAAAATTTAGTTTTTAAACTTTTTTTTTTTTTTTACCATATCCTTGTTGTCCATATGCTAATGATGGAGGGATGACCACTTTCCGTTTTTCTCCAGGACACATATTCATCATAGCAATATCCAACCCCTTTATGACTTGTCCAACACCCAGAACGAACCATTTTGGATGACCATCATTTTGCGTCCGACTGTTAAAAAAATTGAGTGGATAACAACAAATTTAGCATTCGTATATATTTAAAAAATGACTTTAGGTTATCAGTCAGTGAAAGTGTGCATTACGTTATGAGATGATCTCTAAGGTTCCTTCCAACCCAAAGCCCTTCTATGATTTTATTATTAGAAGAACGTTTAGATAGTAATAACACCTTAAGTATAATACTATTTTTCTGCTACGCTTATAATTAAATGTGTAAGAGAGCTTTTGTGTTAAAAATATTCACTCCAATGGGGAAAAAAATGCAAGTAAAATGGTAGTTAAATGTAGGGTTATCTGTTTTTGGTTTCTTTTTTTTTTTTTTCCTTAAATAATAGTAGTGGAAGGATGAACTAAAGCTGGGTCATAATCTAGGCCACTGCCTGTACCATCTGTCAGGCAAAGGAGCCCGAAGGAAGGCCGGCTTCCCCGAGGCAGTTCGGGGCAAGGAGGAAAGCGCTCGCAGCTGCAGTCTCATCGTCGGCCTGGGCCGGGGCACCAAGCCCACCGTGCAGAAGCGTGCGGTGCAGGGAAATTTCTGCCCCAAACGGCTTATTTCCAGCAAAGCAGCAAGCGCCCGCCTCAGCGTGCTACCGCTTCCCCTCCGGCACACTCGGCACCGCAGAGGGATGAACGAGCCTGAGCGGAGGAGGAACGCCGCTGCCGGCCGTTCCGGTGCCCGCTGCTCGGGCAGGCCGCGCCACGTCCGCCGCCGCCGCCCCGCGCCCACCTGCAGTAGAACTTGGAGCCGTTGCTGGCCAGGAAGCCGTCGTAGTGCGCGTTCAGCAGGTCCCCCTTCTTGCTCTTGGGGCTGCAGCTGTCGGGGAGGTGCAGCACCTCTATCTTCACCTCCTCCTCGGCCCGCGCCGGCGCCGCCAGCAGGGCCAGCGCCGCGAGGAGCAAGCTCAGCCCGCGGCCCATCGCGTTCCGCCGGCGTGGCACTGCGACCGCGGCCGGAGGGGCGGAGCCTCCCGTGCGGGTGGGCGGGCCCAGGAAGCCAAACGGCCGTGGGGGAGCGGCCAGGGAGCCGCGCATGGGGAGCGCGGAGCGCCCCGCCGGCCGGGTGGCGCCGCCGGGGCCGCCGCGGGCCGCGCCGCTTCTGGGCTGAGCCGGGCCGGGCCGGGCGTCTCCGTCTCCGCGCAGGGACTAGCGGCGAGCCGAGCCCCAGCTCCGCGGCGGCGCCCGCCCTTTCCCCGCGGCGGAGCAGGAGGATGCGGCCCGGAGCGGGGCTCTGAGCGATGGAGGGAGTCCTGTACAAGTGGACCAACTACCTGGCGGGTAGGCGGCGGGCCGGGCCTGCGGCGGCCTTTGGAACGGCCGGGCCTGCGGTGCGGGGCTCTGGGCCTCGGCCCGGGGGGGCTGCGTGTGGGCCCCGGCATCGCGCCCTGCCTCGTGCTGGGCGGCGGGCTCCCTGCGTTTCGCTGGGGGCTCTGGCAGCCGGGCGGGGGCCTCTTTCCCAGCGTCTCGTTCTGCCGGCTCGGATGTTGCTCTTTTCTTTCCGTCTTCATGAGAAGTGGCTTTTATTTACCGGGTGTGGATCTGCTGGGTAGCGTTGCTTGCTGTTGAGGACTTGTCGAATGGTTTGGGTTGGAAAGGACCTTTAAGATCATATAGTTCCGACCCCCTGCTATAGGCTGCCATACCTCCCTCTAGCCCAGGTTGCTCAGAGCCTGTCCAGCCTGGCCTTCAATCCTTCCACAGAAGGGGGGGCGTTCACTGACCTACCAGGCAACCTGTTCATAATCAGGTTGGGTTACCCGAAATCTTCAGTGCTAAATGTTCCTGAAGTCTGAATTCTCCTAATTGGGTTTTGGATGTTGGTTTCTAAAGTCTCTGCTTCTCTGTCCTAACCTGTAAAACATATAAAAGCTGGAGTTCAGGGTAAAATACACAGGAATTGTATCTGTAGAGCTGCCGTGGAGAGAAACACACCACAGATCCACATTATCTGCGTTTGCTGTCTGAAAGCGCAGCTTTGTTTGCTCCATCCTCCCATAACAGAGACGTCATCTCTGTCTGGAGATAGCAGTGGGTGGGCTGCACTTTCGAAGTGGAAAAAATTTCTTTTCTAGTGCTGTAATAGAACTGATTCTGCCTGTAGAGTATGTTGTGCTGGATCCCATGCTGTGCCTAATCAAGCCTCTTCTTGGCAACCGTGGACTTCATTGCACTCTCAGTCTCCTGCTCCTCATGTGTGCTGTTCTGCTTCAGAGAACTCAGGTTTTCAGTGCGGAGTGGTGCAAAGCTCTGAAGGTTTAGAAAACATGATACCTTATGGTGTTTATTAGGAGCTTCTCGTTTGGAGCCTGTTACCTAATAGGTAAATACGTAATAGTAATAGCAAGCGCTGAACAATAGACAGTTACATGTATGTGCGCATGACTGCCTCTAATAGTCAGTCGCCCTATAAGCTACCAATCTGCAGGACCCTTCCTTCCACGTGTGTTGCCCAGCTTAGGGCATCTGCTGCTGTTGCACTTGAAAATTATGGTGTCAGAAATTCTCTAGAATTTCCTGAGTATAGCAGGTTAACAAGTTTCAGATAACTGAGCATATTACTGATTTTTTTTTTTCAGTATTGTTACCAACCTTGTTGTTACTCTGCTCTATGTTTTTGTAGCTAAAAAGAGGCCATAGTATTTATTGTAGTTTTCACAGTAGTAGCCAAGAAGCTTGTTATCATTGCTTGAAGCGCTGTGGAAAATATTATTTAGTTTCCACCTTCTTTAACAGCAAAGGAGACTCCTTTCTAGCTTCAATAATATGTGTGCATCTAAGGACTTGTAAAATACAAATTTTGTTAAGTTTTTTTGTCAAATATCAGATGTTACTCATCTAAACTCAAGTTAGAAGAAGTGGTTTTGTTCTTTTACTCACTTTTATGGGGCACCTTGCTTCTGTTTTTTTCCAATGCCAGTATAACATGAGGCAGAAGTAATCATCTGTATACGGTCACTTTTTATCAGAGTAAGACTGTTCAGAAGCTCGTTGACTTAATGCGTGTGCTAAGGAGATAAGGGCAGTTCAGAGTGCAACACCACACCGCTTGGGAAAAAAACAAAACAAAACTAGTGCATTTCAGAGCGGCATTGTATAGGACACGGTCTTCTGTGCAGTTGTTTCATTGCATGTTGTTTTAGTATAAGTGGTTTTGTACACATATAACTTGAATTTTTTTTCCTATGGGATCTAGGATCCCTTAGTGATTGTGGTTTTTTTGTTTGTTTGTTTTTAATATTCTGTTTTTCTGAGAATGTGGGTCTGCCTATTGAGTACATGCCTGCGTTTTGAAAGATAAAGATGCATACTGTTACAAGCTAATATATAACTTAAAGAAATGTTGCACATCATTATTTTCTTATCTTGGAATTATGATATGGTAGTGTAACAGGCTGTGGAGGGAAGTGATAAAGTCACTGTCCATAGAGGTGTTCAAGTAATGTTTAGATGCAGTGCTGAAGGACATGTTTCCGTGTGCCTGGTGGTGATGGGTTTATTGCTAGATTTGATGGTTTTCTAACCTTGATGAGTCTGTGATGCTGTATTTCAAGTGATCTGGTCCTATGCTTCTTGAATTAGCATTAACACCAGTATTGACTAAATGTGAGCAGTTTGAAGCCTTTAGCAGATGTTCAAGAGTGATGGCCGTGTAAACTGCAGCGTTAAAGCGTGTGGGTGCTAGATGGCCGCAGCTTGGTTTGCTGGTTTGGTGGCATGGTGAGTCCCAGAGACCACATCATTGTGTCACCAAATGCGTTGAGGCCTTGGCCATACGTTACTCCTGTCCCAAGTCAACCAAACAGGAAATTAGGTCTCGGGTTGTAAAATAGAGGGATAATCTGTTCATATCGCCTAGCTGATACAGCCTATAAGAGGTCCGAGTTCTTGGTGTGCTCCCAAGGAATACTTAAGTTCTGTGTTGGTTTTAGAAAGAACGTAATTTGCTAGGCAAAAATATTTTTTTAATAGTATTGAGAAATATGGTACCCTTTCTACTGAGCATTGAGTTTTATGAAACGGCACTCTAAGAGAAATAAATAGAAGAATTGTTGTCATGGGCCCTCATGGGTTAAAATATATCAGCATTTCTATTTGTTATAATGCTGTGTAGAGTTCTCAGAGATACCTGTATAAACTGCTCAGTTTTATAGCAGAATAAAGTCAGTGATCATGAAATAGGTTTGCTGATGCAAAGCTGGTAAAAATCTGAGTGGAGCTGGTGTAGTCTGTCCTTGCAGATGGACTCCACGTAATACAAGCTGCATCTCAGTTCCCAGTACAGTGTTTGACATTAAGTTGTTGAGCAGTGGAGCTGAGCTACTTTCAGAGGAAGTGGTGTGTCAGTGGTCAAGTGTGGCATGCAAATGTTTTCACTGAAATACAGTAGGTAGAGGAGACTGAACACGGCACTTGTGATGGCAGGTGTTTATTTCTTTGACTATAATTTAAAGAAAGTCTACCTGAAAAATGTATTTGGACAAAGATGTTTCTTCAGAGGTATCCCTTCAAAATAGGATTAATCAGTGGCTAAATTAAAATTCCATTCTGCAGTAGAATGGAAAGTAGTGGAAACTGAAATACTGCCAATCTTTCATTCAAAAAGAATGGGAATGAATTAGCTGTGTAATACTGGTGTGATGATAGAGCAGCTCTTGTCTTCAGACCACAGACTCTTTATTTCCTGTTGTGTCATGGGATTGCTGTGATGTCTGCATCATTTATAAAAGCTTTAACAGCCAAAGAGATGCATTTGATTTGCAATTTAGTAATTAAACTAAACTTCCTTTTTCATTTTTTTGATCTTACCAGGTTGGCAGCCTCGGTGGTTTGTCTTAGACAATGGGATATTGTCATACTATGATTCACAGGATGATGTTTGCAAAGGCAGCAAAGGAAGTATAAAGATGGCCGTGTGTGAAATAAAAGGTAAGAGCTAGATTTCTGCTAGAAGAAATTTTAGGTGTTGGGGAGATGGAAGAGACCACCCAATGTACAGTTTACATCATAGATTTTTCTTTCCTCTTTTTATGTATTGATAGTCCAACATGATTGCTTTGTACTTTACAAATAATAGAAATGTTGAGTGTAGTTTACAAATAATTATGAATTGGTAACAAAAGAAAAGGTTTGGGGCATTTAGTTTTTTTGTTTTTTTGTTTTTTTAATGTAATTTGGAACCCACAACATATTCCTCTTTGTTCTGAAGTTGTGTGCATGTGGCCTATGCTTGAAGTTGCCTAGGCTTAATGTTTCTTTATACCTCTTTTCAGTCATGTAAGGGACTGAAATGCTTATTTTTCAGAAGAGTGGCAGCAGTAACCTGAAAGGGGAGATGCTTAGAAAGCAGAGATGCTCAGTCTTCTGTTTTCTTGAGTCATTTTTGTTGTTCTGTTCTTATGGTGTATGAAGGATAATAGGTGAAGTCTAGATTTGATTATCTCCTACATCCATGGCTAGTGGGAAGTGGATCTGGGGAAACTGTGGTTGGTAATGTGAACTCAGCAAAGTGTTCTGTTGAAGACATAGTAATGGATGTAATGGACTGTCAGTGGAGTCCACCTCGATTCTTGTTTGTAGGGCTGTGCGACCTGACAGCGGAGGAGATTAATTCACTTTTTAGTCCTCTGTAATACTTTGTAGTCCTCTATAAATACTTCTTGCAACAAAACTCTTAAGTTTGCCATCTTTAGATCAGAGTTAGAGTGCAGTTGTTACTGCAGGTTAATGTGCAGTGAATTGTTAATACAGTAAGGAAATGTCCTTTTACTTGCGTTGTTTGGCGTTTGATGTTCCTGCCTTTTCTCTTGAAGAAAATGCACTAGGGAGCTGTTCTGGGCTTTCTGTTGTTTGGCAGCAGTACAGTGATATTGCTTTGAGATTGTTTTATTTAATAAATAATTGTTACCAGGTTAGGGTGTGTGTGCTGTTGTTTTTGTGTTTTTGGTTTGGTTTGGTTTTTTTAAAACTTCTTTTTTTCTTTTATATCTTTAGTCCATGCAACAGACAACACCAGAATGGAGTTAATCATCCCAGGGGAACAGCATTTCTATATGAAAGCAGTTAATGCAGCTGAAAGGCAGAGGTGGCTGGTAGCACTGGGAAGTGCAAAGGCCTGTTTAGCAGATACTAGAACAAAAAAAGAAAAAGGTATGTGTGTTACCTAGAGCATGCACAAGCCAACCACTTTCGCACATTTTCAGATAATGATAGCAAAAATATTATGGTAGAAATTCTTTAAAATAGAAGTTGTAATTATTTCTGTAGGGTATATTTCCCCATGGTATTTGAGTTGTGGTAGTGACTGATGCAAATAACTGTTACACAGCCTATTATTGACTTTATTTTGCTGCTCATAGGCTTTATCACTTCTCTGTTTTCTGTATTGCTTTTCAATCTGGTTTACTTTGCCTTCTTCAGATTTGTCCTGCACCATGTATCTATTTGGCATTCCAGGAATGTTGCTGTGACCATATGAAGCTGTATCCACAGCTGCTGTGAATATGAGTTCAGTTTACTTCAAAGAAACTTGTAGCATTTCTCCTTTAACAAATACTCCATGTTTTGTTAGGAGTCTGACTGTAGGCAGTTAGGAACAAGCAATTTAAACTCAAAGTCTATGGAGTTTGGGTATCTGATTCCCAGAGCTGTTTCTGAGAAGGTATATATGTTTCTTAGTTTTTTGCCTAATGCATTTTTACAGACATTGCAGTGGTGATACTCTGTGTCTTTATTCTGTTGGTGATACTCTGTGTCTTTACTCTGAGATTACAAAGAAACTTCTATGTAAAATCAGTCACATGCTTTATTCTTAAAATTTCTAAACATGTTCTGCTCTGTCCTATTTGACAGTAAGGCATCCCAAATTTTAATATTTGAGCACTGTTTAAGTAAGTTTCCTTTTACAAAAGAGAATTCTTCCAAAAACCCACTGGATGAAATCACCTCCACTGCAGGAAAGCAACACACAAGTACTTTGCTGAATCAGACTAAAGGCCTCTTATGAAAACCAAAATCAAAATATTTAAAGGGAATAAATGTAAGAAAAAGAATGTAAATAAGGTGATCTCTCCTGGTTAACCTGAGGTGTGTACAAATGTGAGTATACTCTCATCTTTCCAAACCTTTTCACAGAATAGTTGAGTCTGGAGGAGACCTCTTGAGATAGTGTAGATCTATATACCTGCTCAAGCAGATTCAGTTACAGTAGGCTGCCCAGGATCACAGCCAGTTAAGTTTTAGTATCTCCAAGGATTGAGATACTACAGATTTCTGTTAAAACTGTCCACTGCAACAGTACAAAACTATTTTCTCAAGCTTGGATGAAATATCCTGTTTCAGTTTTTGCACATTGCCTTTTTTCCTGTCACTGAGAACAGTCTGGCTATGTCGTCTTTAAATCTTCCTGTCAAATGCTGAGTTATCTACAAACTGCTTCATATTTGCCCATGCCGTAATGCTCACAGCTGCATCACTTTCTCCTTGTATGTCAGAGACTCTAGTCCCCTAATCATTTTCACAATCCTTTGCCAGACATGGTCCAGTATGCTCATATCTTTCTTGCACTGAGGAGTCCAGATTGAACAGAGTACTCCAGGTGTGATTTCACAAGCCTTGACTAGAGGGAAAGGATTACCTTCTTGACCTCTTCTACTATGAGAAACGTCAGCAACTTACTGTTATGACCATATTGTTTGTAGCGGTTACAAAGCCATTTAATTTCAGCTGCTGCCAGTCTGATTCTCTATAATTGCTTTTATTTTCTGCACAGTATTTTTGCTGTCTTGATGTAACCATTTCTGCAGTCCGCTAAATTTTCATTCAATGAGTTTTTTTTTTCTATATTGCACTGTAGTTAAGACAGATTTCAACTTCATTTTCTTGTTATACGCTTCTTTCTGACTATCCTTAAAGCAGGATCAGTTACCAAAAAGTACAAACTAATTGTCTAGTGGTGTTCCATGTTTGTTTACAACCTCTTGGCCCCACACAGCTAAATCATTTGTATGATTAGTATTTGTATTGTGCAGTTTATTAGCAGCAGATTACGGGTGCTCTTAGATTGCTGGAGATTAATTCATTGTCTGCAAAGTGTGTGAGGCTGATCAGAAGCAATGTCAAGCACATGAAATAACTAATAGTAATACAGCCTGGCCACAAGCACACTAAATTATAAAACAAACTCTATAGAGATTACAAAGTTTCCTGAGGAGGCGCTCAACATAGCTGACTGCATGAGCCTTATCCAGTAGGCAACCTTATGGTGTGGGGAAGAGAGTTTCAGGCCATTGACTGATTCCAGGAATCAGAGATGGTCTGTCTCTCACTTGTCTGCGAATGTATCTTCCTTATCTTCCCTCTTTCTTAAGCCAATTTTTTTTTTAGCATTTCTTACCCTGCAGATGGAGCTTGAGTGACTCTAGTCATTATATTTCTTTTTTGTGATTGGCATAAAATTCTCTTGCTTTACTTTTAGTTTGCACCTTGGAGGCAGTTAGCTTTTGGAATGGAGGTGTGTTTTGGTATTATAATGAGCAGAGTTCACTAAAGGGTGACATTTTGTAAAAAGAATGCCAGAGTTTTGGCCCGGGAGTAGCAGGTAGACAGTTTGATGCCACCAAGTCCCCATCCTGATATTGTTTTTCTTAGAGTCAGTCCATCAGGTTTTCTTGAAGTTGGTGATGCCTAAGACTACCTATGGAACTACTATGGATCAAAGAACTTGGTTGTAGTCTTTACTCCACTCTACCTTCCATACCATTTCAATTGAACACAGACTGCACTCTGCACTTGTACCACTGTGAAAGATTTGTACCTAAATTTCCAGTAAGTAATGATAGTTTAAGCAATTATTATGCTGTAAGTTGATATTTCCTTTATTTCTTACAGAAATAAGTGAGACCAATGAATCTCTTAAAACCAAAATGTCGGAACTTCGTCTCTACTGTGATCTTCTAATGCAGCAAGTTCATACAATACAAGAATTTGTTCACCACGATGAGACTTGCTCTCCTCCCAGCATTGAGGTATTGAATTTCTATAATGGCATTAGTTACCTTATTCAACTTAAGGTTCCACTGACAACTTACGTTCTTTTCCCTTCATAATTTTGGGAGATCTAACTTCAACTCAGTTTTTGAATGCCTGTGTCCACGTAATACTAATATTCGTTAAAAGGACAGAAGACCTGTTATATCTGCTTCTAGTAAAAATATAATAGCATTTGGAGGGGAAGTGCTAAGTCGTAGCCCGAACCAGTGATTGAGCACCTGGTGGGAAGGCAGGGCCAACCTAGGGGAGCTCAGGTGAATGCAATGCACACTGAGTGACAGGAAGGGGTGGAGGCAGGATCTGCACTTTCCCAGACCTCATTTAAGGGTTGGCAGTAGAGGCAAGGGTATCTTGCTGGAGATCCCTGCCTGAGGCATTCCAAAGGTAAGCAGTGATTCTTTCCTTTGTTTCCGTGTCCACGGCTGCTGCGTTTGGACTTGTTTTCATTTGCTGTAGCCTAGGATTGTGCCACTCCACGATTATTGCTGTATTGCTGATTGGAAGAGTTTTAAAGGAGGATGGGGGACAGGGGAGGTGAGCCTTCCATTGATGAGGTGTGGAATGGCATAGCTATAGAGGGACAAGATGCTAGAAGGGGCATTGAAGGACCTGCTGCTTTGAGAGGTGCTGGCAAAACTGCAGTCTGGACAAATGCTATGATGATGTGGTAGTGACTGCTGGGGTGATAGAAGACAATGGAGAAAATCAAGGGAAATACTTAAAAGGAATTTAGGAGTTATTCTTTAAGGAGACGACAAGACCAGCTGTCCAGCTTGAAGTGTCTCTACACCAACGCACGTATCTTTGGAAACAAACAGGAGGATCTGGAAGATACTGTGCTACTGGAAAAACAGCAATATAGTTGCTGTCATCAAAACCTGGTGGGATGATTCCCATGATTGGAGTGTGGCTATCAATGGCTACGAGCTGTTTAGAAGGGACAGGCAACGAAGGAGGGGAGGGGGTGTTGCTATCTGTGTCAGAAAAGGAATGGCATGTGAAAAGCTGTCCCTGAAGAATAGTCACAAACCAGTCAAAAGCCTTCAGGTGACAGTTAGAGACCGAGGCAGCAAAGGGATCCTTGTGATTGTTGTCTACTACAGGCCACCTGATCATGAGGTTTGGCAAGTCCAAATGCAAGATCTTGCACCTGAATTGGGGCAACCTCTCTATCAATACAAGCTGGGGGGGGGGGTGAAAAGATTTTGTGCAGCCCTGCTGAAAAAGACCTGAGGATACTGGTGGATGGGAAGCTGGACATGAACCAGCAATGCACCCTTGTAGCCCAGAGAGCCAACTGTATCCTAGGCTGCATCAAAAGAAGCATGGCCAGCTGGTCAAAAGGGGTGATCCTGCCCTTCTACTCTGTGTTGGTGAGGCCTCACCTGGAATACTGTGTCCAGATGTGGAATCCACAGTACTAGAAAGGCACGACATGTTAGGGCATATCCAGAGCAGGGCCGGAAAAGTGATCCAAGGGATGGAACACCTCTCCTATGAGGATAGGCTGAGAGAGCTGGGGCTGTTCAGCCTGGAGTAGAGAAGGCTCTGTGGTGGCCTTTCAATATCCAAAGAGGAGCTACAGGAAAGAAGGGGACAGATTCTTTAGCAGGTCTGCAGCAATATAGCAAGGGGGAATGAGTTGCAAGCTCACAGAGGTTACATTTAGGTTGCCTGTAAGGAAATAATCTTTGATAACTCAGGTGGTGAGGCACTGGAACAAGTTGTTTGGAGATGTGGTGGATGCCCCGTCCTTGGAGACTTTCAAGGTGAGGCTGGATCACACCCCTGGCAATCTGATCTAGCTGTGGATGTCCCTGTTCATTGCAGGGGAGTTGGACTAGATGACCTTTAAAGGTCCCTTACGACTCTAAGGATTCTATGATTTTAAATTACTGTTAGGTCTTAATAGTAAGGATGGAATTTAGTGGATGTAGGGGAAAATTATATTTGTCTTCTTTCTTTCTTATACTTCTGCTTTCATTTGCTTTCAGAACATGAATGAAGCCTCATCCTTGCTTAGTGCCACATGTAATACGTTTATCACAACACTTGAAGAATGTGTGAAGATTGCTAATGCCAAGTTTAAGCCAGAAATGTTCCAGCTGCCTCATCCCGATCCCTTAGTTTCTCCTGTGTCACCATCACCTGTCCAAATGGTTAGACACTTTTAAAATACTTTTTTTTTCAACGGGTTATGTTGTTGTTTATGGGAGGAAGAATGGCAGAAAACTATTGCTTTGTGTTTTGATGTCAGCAGATGAAATCTTAACTCTGCTATGTTCAGTACTAGTTTTAAATATTTCGTAAATCAATACTTCTCTGTTTCCAGTCTTTGTTTTCTAGCCTTTACGTAATTGGAGTAATTTGTCATACCTATCAAGACCCTGTACTGAGATATCTATGAAATCAGTGAGATTTGAATACTTGAAGCACTTCAGCAGTATAATGTATCTTTCAATGTATATAATTCAAAAATGTTTATATATTAGTGTGGTATAATTGTATTTATCAAAAAGGTAAATAATAGTAAAGATACTGCTTGCATAACTCTTCGTTACTAATCATTTTTTTAGGAGGACAGTATATGCAGAATTGTCTTAAATATCTCACTAATTGCATATGTAGATTCTAAGATGGGTTGTATTGTGGCTTACTGTTGTGGGAATCCCTTTATTTGCGCTTTGATCTTGTCTCCTTATCTTCTTTCAATCTTTTTGTCTTCCAATTTATTTATTTAATGTAATACCTTTCATATGTAAAAGTTTGGCAGTGGTGTCAGAAGAACCACAAAGAATCAAAGGACAGAATTTTGGCTTTATTGTGTGTGCAGAATTTAAATGGTCTTTTGGTAGGGGGGAAGAGTACCTCACTATTCCTGTTTATCACATATTTTGGTTAAATTGCATTTCCTGTGTGAACGCTTTAGCATTGGTGGCAATCCACTTTTTTTTTTTTTTTTTTAAAGAGTTAAAACAGGTTGTGTTTTGTTTTGTTTTAACAAAAGTTGTTTTTAATTAAAAGACCCTCTTTTAATTAAAAGACCCTCTTTGTGAGGCCGTAAATAAAGTATAAATTAATGTTGGTGTGAGTCATTCCTGTAAATAACTTGTGACTTTTTTTGTCTTCCTAGATGAAACGTTCCATTAGCCATCCTGGTCCTTATTATTCAGAAAGGTACTTTTCTATTTCATTAGATTTTTTTCTCAAAACACCTCCCTGAACCTGCCAGCACTAAAATTGAAGTGTGAGATAAAGTTCACTTTGAGGGAGGAAATTAAAAGGCGTAAGTTGATCTGCTTTTGAAAATTAAGGTGCAGATTTACAGTGTCTTTGGCAAATAATGGAGCTGTTTTGTCTGTTACTTGCTCTATAAATATTTATTCATGTTAGAAGCTTCATGTAAATGACTTCTGCTAACTTCATAAAATTAGACATGTAGCCTGAAGTGCTACCATTGTATTTTGGGCTAGTCTTTCAGATATTTGAACTATTTTCTTCTGTATGTAAACAACAGACTGCATTTTTTTAATTTCAATTTTCAGGCTTTAAAATTATGAAAATCAAGGATGTTCTGTTGACCGGGTCATTTCTGTGTTAGTATAGTGAAAAACATAATTGATGGAACAACAAATCTATAGTCAAAGTTGTTTTAAAATTTGGGTTCTTACAGATTTTTCTTACTAATGTGACTCATTTTGTTTATAGGGATAATCACTCTGTGAAAGAACCAATTTCATCCCTCCATCGGTTATCACAGCATCGCAGAAGAACATACTCAGATACAGAATCTTACAGTGACACTCCCCTGGAAGATTCTCAGAGTAAGTTTGGAAGAGGGGTGGTTTTCTTTTGTATCTTTCTGTAGAATTTATTACCCTGTTTGTGTCAAGTGTTATAGTGCTAATGTCAGTATGAAGGAAAAGATTTGGTTATACATTTGCTACGCTACAGATTGAAGCACCTGTATTATGTTGCTGACTTCTCTGGTTTTCATTCATACTGATAAGAATTTTACAGCTGAAGTATTGAAATGAGTAGGACTGCTTGTAATCTAAAATGGAGATCTAACCAAAACAGGAGTGTTTGTACTAAATAGTAGTCTCTCCTTGTTAAATGGGTCCTACTGAGTTAGTATTCGGTTCTGTGGTTTTTCAGTCTTGATTCTTGCTGTCCTTTGGGCTCTGTCCTAACTCCTCTCAGGAAGACTTTTAACTTGACTAGTTCTTCTTGGCTAGTTCTGGTTTAGTCTTGCTTTCTTCTGGAATGCCTGGTGCGTCATCTGGATTGAAAAAACCTGTGTGGTGCTGAAAGCATGTGTGAGCCCAGAGAGGTACTAATGCTCTTACACTATCATAGCACAAATATTTGCACGTCCACACCGTTTCCTTGGTTCTCTGATGCTCACATATTGTGAAATGACAACCACTTTTGCCTCAGTCACCTGCCTCCAATTTAGGATCTGCCACCATAAATCCCAAGCTAATAAACTTGGTTTAAACTCTATTCTGTGTTTCATTGTTAATGTAGCTGCACATCAGTCTTGATTTGGTTGTTAACATCTGGACCTTCTTCACCAAGCCTAACTCTTTCCAGAACTGCTGAAAAGTTTTGTTCTTGCTAATACCAGACTTTTCTAATTTTTTTCTCTTTCCTGACAGGCAGTCTAACAGGCAGAAGTCATCAATTTCATTTTAATAATAGAAATTGTTTTAATTAAATGCGTATCAGTGCATCAGTGTTTTTCTTTCTATAATCAATCTTTGTCATACAGCATTTGTATGCAAGATAGCTGTCCTTCAAATTCAATACTAACTGTTTAAAAAAGGTACCAGATGTATACTAGGTGAACATTCATTATATCCATCATCCTTGTGCGTGATACTGATGGAAATCTTTTAGAAGTGCAGAGTAATTATGCATCTTATCCCTTATGAAGAGCAAAGACTTAACAAGTAGAATAACTGATAGATTGGGTGAGGGTTTTTTTTTTATTTGAAATTTAAATACTTCTTGATATCTTCATAGGATCTGCTCACTGTCCTGGAAATGCTGTAAATGGAGATCTGGTGTCATCAACCATTCCGGAAGAAAATAGATCGATATCAAATGAAAGATCTAACCTGGAAGGGAGTCTCTCATCCTTTTCTTCCTGAAGAAGCTGAAAGTGTTTAAATTTTCTATTAAAAATGCTATGCAAAGGCTGCTGTAATTATATTGTTATTATAGGAAGTAGTAATTTCCCTTTTTAGAAGGATTTCTCTGCACTTTATAGAATAATCTGAAAAATATCTTTGAAGTGTATTTTATCTTTATATAGTTTATTTGCAAGAGTATTTTCCTAATATTTCACAGTTTGAATGTGCATTTTTTTGGAACAAATGATGGTTTAAAAGATAAACATCTACATTTGTAAATGTTGCTCTTTATAAAAAGTTTGAAGGTCTGACTGATACAGTAGTAAACCTGCAGATTATAAACTTTAGCAAAGAGGTTTTGTTTTGTGTGTGTTTTTTTTTCCTTTTTGGAGAAAGTGCAGCTTGTGCCTGCTGATCATTTGTATAAGCAGTCTGCCTGGAGCTTTGATGGCCCTGCAGGGGCTTTTTTTTTTTTGCCTGAGTAAGGACTGTGGGACTGGGCATTAATGGATCTACTCTAGCAGCATGTTGGTAATTGACATTGCCTTCTTTAAAAACACAAGGGTATACATAATCTGGTCCTTGTTTTTAGCCAATGAGAGTAGAAATATTTTGTGTATTTTTCTATTAAAAAAAAATGTATACAGATAACTTAATATGAAGCATTTGTATCAAGCATTGGATATTTAATAATTGTATTTATTTATTCTTCTTTTGCATCAAAATTTTTTTACCTACTTTCACTACTAAAGATACAAAAATCTACTAAAGGTTTCAAAATGGGCATAAATTGTTTCTGGTGTGTGTAGCATCACAAGTAGCTAATGCAGCATCTCTAATATGTACTCATGTAATGCTTTGCTGAAGACACGTCTTTATAGAAGTAAGAGCTAAACTATTAGACCACGAAGCTGCTGTTGATATGGATAGGTGTATCTGTATCTGTACATATTTTATTTATGACATATTTATACAAAGGGAGCTTCTGTTTTGGTGATTCCTTTATATCGTTTCAGGATGGTATGCACCAGGAGGTGCGTTCTGCTCTCATTTACGTCAGTGTAAATCTGCATTAACTGTAAGTGAGATCAGATTCTGATACTCAGTAATTCATGAGTAATATAGTGTAGTATAACAGTGCCTACTACCACCTTGATCCATAAGGTTGCGAGCGTTAGCATTGTAAGCTTTTGGCGTGGGGGGGAGGGTTGGTGTTCATTTAAAGATAAGCTTGGTTTATGAAGTCTTAGCTGTAGAGCACTTTAAGCAAGCCATTTACTGTTTTTTGTTTATACAATTCCTAAATAAATGCACGGAGTTTTTTGTACTTGAGCACATACCAAAATCTGTCTTTTATAATCTAATCTTCTTTAATTTGGTCTAAGTTGTCTTCTTTTGGTGTTTATGAATAATTTGGTGGTATTGAAGCAGTTTGGAAAAGACAGATGGGGTTGGATTTGAAGGTTTCAGTATAAACTTCTGGAATATTGATTCATCTAAATCAAAATAGATCCAAACGTTGAGAAAAAACATAAGCTGTTGCTTGTGTAGGCTACCAGTCTTAAAAACATTCTGTTGGTTGTCAAAGGGAATGGAAAGGCTCATTTGATTAAAGTTGTTAATGGCTTCCAGCTCTCAGTGCTGTCATTTGTGCTCAGTTTTCATGCACCTGTCATTTGGGTATCAGCCACACATGCTTGTATTTTTTTTTTTCCCCTAAATGTTTGCTTTTATGTATTCTGTATGACATCTAAGGCAATTGTAAAAACAAGTATTAAAAAAAAATGTTCAGAGAAGTAAATGACGTATTTGAGTGTTATGTTGAATCATATATACTGGTTTAGAGATAGCTACTGAAATTTCACTCACATTTTTTCCAGCGTGTACTATGGCAAGTACATGTCATTTTAATGGGAGTCTGTTTCTGACTTTCAGCTACTACAGAGAAAATAAATAGTCTGGACTCTGTGCAAAAATTTCCCTGAGACTGATCAGTGTGTGTAGTTGTAAATCAGCGTTTAAAATACTGCTGATAAATATTTTAGGTATGACTGGTTAGATAAAAGTTGTAATGCTTAGATTCAAGTATAGCGGCTCCCTGTAATTAATTACTTCAGGACTGTGTGGGTTTTTTTCCATGTGACTAAAGCTGGAATGATATCTTTTAGTATATGTGCAACATGTTCTTGCTAAAGGTAGATCAGCTTTTTTTTTTTTTGTACCACTGTTTTATGGCTGAAATCCTAAAATGAGTGAAGATGATATACCATTGTACTTTTGGCATTAGGAGCTAAGAAGTCATTCTGAAAAATGGTACTAAGCTGGAACCAGAGTGGTCCATGTGTAGTAAGATTTAAAAAAAAAAAAACAAAAAAACAAAAAAAAAAACAAAAAAAAAAACCCTGGATGCTCTTATATTTTTGCTTCCAGGTCCAGGGGAAAGCGAACTAGAAATGCGTAATTGTATTACTGCTCTTTATTGTGGGGAATGGGAGCTGACTTTCATAACAAAAGTTATGTCATTAGCACGTCTAGTTTTGATCTCGCATCTGAAGAGCTCAGTCTGAAACCAGATTGAAATTTGTGAAGTACTTCTCACGGAAAGGGCATGATTGCATCCTGTCTGCATGGACAAAGAGGAGTGTTTTCTGGTTGTTGACTTTTATCTTTGAAGTTTCTAGCATCAGATGATAATAAGATGAAAATAAAGAGTACGGGCCTGCAGTTTAAAACATGCTCACTAATCTTTGCTAGGATTTTTTCCTCGTGCATCAGGATCCAGAAGCATGAAATCTAACTGCTCTGACGTGTTGGTAGTAGGATCTTTTTGTGAACGTGGCGCTGTGGTGTAATAGGTCTTACCTTTAAAGAGAGCTAATGTTGGCTTGCACAGTTAAAAATCCCAGTATTCTACCTGAACGGAGGAAGTAAATAATTTGGGACATTCATTCTTCATTTTCTTATTTTTATTCGGAGAATGCTTAGTCATGAAAATTGCTGTTGTTTTGGGCTGTGTTTTATGAGAGTGAAGGAGACTGGAGCTCTATGTTGTGACTTTATCAGTGACACTCAATTTTAGTGTTAACTTTGCTGTCTTGTGAACACAGGCTCAGCAGTGTGTCAAGTTATCTATTAAAACTGTGCTCCAGCAAATCCTGTAAGTACATTACTTGAAATCCTATTTGAGGCATGAGTTAGTCATCTGCTTAAAGTTAGATGTGCTTGCAGACAGAACTAACTTGCTTACACTACCACATGAGCTGCTTGCAGCTTGATCAAGTAAAAACATCTAGATTTAGTAGAGGCAATTGAAAACTGAGTTTCCAGTAGCGAACTGTATTTTTATTGGTCTCTTTTACTACTGTCTCTAGGGGAAAGGAAAGTACTGTACATTCGGATTCTTTTGCATTGTTTCCAAATGTGCCTATTTTCATCACTCCCAACTGTCTCGATCTTGTCATGATCCAAAACGTAGCTCTCTTTTGAATTTTAGCTCTGTTTATTAGCTAACATTCAGGTCATTTTGTCTCTGAGTACGTGTCTCCCTTGCAGTGCTGAGCTTGCTCTGTGGGTGATTACAGGCGGGAGTCTAGCAACAGTGTAGTCCTCTTAGTGCTGTACATTTGTGTTGCCAGTTGGTGAATGGTGCTATGTATTGTGCTTCTGGTAACCCACGCAGGCTGGCCTAGCGTGGATCTTGAAGGTGTTTAGCACCTCACTGTGCACTGCACAAGCAAGGCTCTAGCTTTGAAGGCACATCTAGGCATGTTTTTTCCTTCAGGTGAGATTTCTTGTTCTTTTCTTGCTCTTGCAGCTCGGAAAGCTGTATCCTGGGCTCCATCAGAAGAAGGCTGGCCAGCAGGGAGGTGATTGTCCCTCTCTACTCTGCTCTTGTGAGGCCCCCACCTGGAGTACTGTGTCCAGGTCTGGAGCTCCCAGTCCAAGAAAGACAGGGAGCTGTTGGAGAGGGTCCAGAGGAGGGCCACGAAGATGATCAGGGGACTGGAGCACCTCCCCTGTGAGGACAGGCTGAAAGAGCTGGGCTTGTTCAGCCTGGAGAAAAGAAGGCTGCGGGGTGACCTCATTGCAGCCTTTCAGTACCTAAAGGGAGCCTACAAAGAGGAGGGGAATCAACTCTTTGAAAGGGTGAGTGACAGCAGGACGAGGGGAAATGGTTTTAAGCTGAGGGAAGGGAGATTTAGGTTGGACGTCAGGGGGAAATTCTTTACGGAGAGAGTGGTGAGGTGCTGGCACAGGCTGCCCAGGGAGGTTGTGCATGCCCTGGTCTAGTACTGAATGTGGAGGTTGGTGGCCCTGCCTGTGGTGGGGGGGGGTTGGAGATTCATGATCCCCGGCCATTCTGTGACTAACTTTACTGGGGTATCACTGTTCATTGTTCTATGAGTAGTGCCCAGCTAGTTTATAATAGTTTCTTTTTCCCCCTATGGAAAAAAGTGAAGTCCTGAAGGGGTTTAAATGCTCAAAACAAACCGAAACACCAAACAAACACAGACTTTAAGGTGCAGAAAGCATGCTTTATTTGAAATGAACAATTCTATCTCAAGGAGGTTCAACATCTAACAATTAGATTAACTACTACATTAGAAGAACTACAGCAAATAGAAGTGCAGGGCAGTATCTGATGTAACAACAGCTTGTTCTCAAACTGTGGTTCGCTGCTTAGTTGCCTGTAAGTTACTACTAAGTGTCTAAAACTACTACACAAACTCAATCACTGCACCCTACAAACCTCCAAGAGTTGGTACTGCTGCTGCACTTGAGTACCTAAATGGCTTTGTTGATTATGGGGATGGCCAGGTGATGTTACTTTTTTAAAGCCGTTCAGGCAGTCAGTGTGTCAGAAGCAGCACCCAAACAGTGGGCGAACAAAGTGCTGGCCGCTTGCACTTTGTTCAAAAATTGTCAGTCAGGTATGGAAATTAGGACATAATCAGATCCAATGTAAAACATTAAAGTAATACTTACAGGAGGGTAATTGTAAATATCACCAGTGCCTTACATTTCTGATTCAGCATAAGTATTTGTGCATGTATGAAATACTATG